CTGCTGAACATGGTCAGCTCACAGAGGGCAATGTGGGGGGTGGAGGGGAGGCTCTGCCTGGCAGCCCCCGTGGCGTAGGGCTGTCCCACAGCCTGTTGCTGCAGTGAGGGAGTAGGATGGAGTGATCTGATTAAAGAGGGAGGGGAAATTTCACATACTTTTAAAATTATTATTTGAAAAATTGTTTCCTAAAGCAGAGAAAGGTCATTGAGGGAACTGTTTTCCTTTATTTTTTAATAAAATGCCACTTGCTGTCTGAGAAGCAGCTCGCCGTCAGCTGTACTGCCAGAGGGTAAATTAATATTTTAGTCACTTGGGGATTGTGGAAGAAAGCTCTGCAGACATGTTCCTGTCAGCAACTTTTTTTCCCTCCTTTTTTCTTTGCAGTTCTTCCTAATTTATTTTTTTTCTTTTATTTGTCCTCCTGGATTCTCTCCTTTCCTCTTTTCTTCCCTTCCTTGAATTTGAATTTCTCTTTCGTGGGCTCAGCACTTAAACCTCCTCCCAAAGGAGAAGAGTTTCCTCCCTTTTTGCAGGCACAACATGATGGTGGTGGCAAGAGGTCGTGCAGTTTGAACCAGTCCCATTGGCTGTCACCTTCGATAGCCCCACCAGGGCAGATGCTCCTGCTGGGCAGGCGCAGTGGCAGGTCCTGGCGGTCGCTACGGCAACGCGGGGACTGGGGACAGGAGAGGGGCTTGACTAGCAGTCGAAAGCTGCCACGTTGCCTCAGCATTAACAGAGTCTTTAATAAACGCTTAAGAGGCAGCCCCGCAAATTAGTTATGACAGTTTGTGCAGAGAATCAGGTCTCCCCCACGCTCCTTCCGCCCTTCTCCTTTAAAGGGCCCATAGCCTGGACAACTTTGACATAATTTTGCAATAATTATCACTTGAAGAATTTCCACGCTGGAGTGGACGTCAGAACCCATCATGTCAATTTGGCAATAAACGCTGACCAGCAATCCCAGCACTTCCCTCCCCCCACACTTTTTATTTGCTTTTTCCATTTATGCACTGGTGCTAGTGATTTAACTTACTTATTTGCCACTGTAACCTCATTTTAGACCAACATTTTAAATTTAATTTTTGCTTTTAACTTTGGTGTCTTTCTCAAGCAGGGAATGGACAACCAGCAGCTCCCGGACGGTTCAATCCAGCTCAGGTGAAGCAGGAACCTGTGGAGGCCATGGGATCATCATCTGCTGCCAGTCAGGACTCCTTGCAGGAGCACAGCCTGGACCTGAGCGTCAAGGACCATAGGTGAGAGAAGGGTGCAGGCAGGCACATTTAGCTCTTCCAGCCTCAACCTCTGAGAAGTTTCTGTACCTTGACATGAGAGCACACACATTGATGAAAGGTAGTTTCACAGTAGCTGAGTTGGATGCCCCCAAACTGGAGGCACAAGGCTGTGTTCTCTAGGCCTTTTTCTGGGCTCACAAGCACCTACTGACTTTTTTACAAGAGCCCTGCCTCTTGTGCTCCCCTCTGAAATCCGTGGGTCCGTGTCCCTGGCAGTGTGGGTCTTCTCTCAGCATCCCCCGTGGTTTGGGGCATATTTTTCAAAGTTCTAATGCAATGAAGGAGTAAAACATGGGTTGGGTTGTGAGTCAGCTAATAAAAAAATTAATGGTGTGGACACTGGAGAAAGAGGTCTGGACTGCTTAGTAACTGAAAGAACTGCATTCTGCAGACTTGGGACCTTCTTTTCTCCATCTTGGCTATCACAAGTAAGTGTTTGGCCTGCCCAGGAGAGGGTGGGCATCGTTCTCTTCCTCTGCTTGGAGCAGGTGAGGAGTGAGGCAGCTTGAAGGGAGAAGGATTAATCTCAGAGCTCACAGTCCCTGTGCACATCTTAACTAAACCCTGTTGGTTTGTGTGTTCCAGTAATGAATCAAATGGCCACACAGTCTCAGCAAATTCATCTCTTTTATCCTCGCTTATGAATAAGGTAAGAGCCATCCATCACACGCCTCCATTGCCCCCACCAAGAGAAATTAAAGCTGCCATGGCGGGAGGGGGGAAGAGACGCGTTTGTTTTTTAATGTTTTGCCTCTAATAAGATGAGTTTGTACCATTTAAATTTTGAGACCATTTTTCATCGGATATAATTTCAGAGCCGCTGCTTACGAATTAATTTAATGAACTGGCTGAAGAAATATATTGCAGCCTCTGACACCTTTTTTTTTTCCCCATCTTTTCTAGACAGAGGAGGGCTCCGAAAGATGATTATTATTTGGTTTCATTTTTATTTCCCAAACCTGGCAACTTCTCTCTCGCTCTTTTTACAGTCACTCGTTTTGTTTATTTACTTAAAAACATTTTGTTTCATTGGGGGAGGAGGTGGAGAATAGTTTGGTTTTATGAAAAAGGAGAAAAAAATTAGAAGTTTTGAGCCAAAATCATCAATTTCTGTCTTTCTGGTGTGAGTAATGGTGTCCAACAGAGCTCACTTTGATGTGTTCTAGAATATTTATTTTAGATAATGCACGGTTTCTTTTTTTCCTTACTTTTTCCTTAAATTATACATCATCTCAAATATATTATTTCCCTTTCACATGAAAAATTCTACTGTACCAAGATTAATTTTTGCTGTTACATACAACTGCAGTAGGATCAGGGCAGCCTTTCAGCCATGCTTTAATATTCTACTCTGTGATAGGTTTTACAGACACAACTGTTGCCATCCCCTTGGCCCTGGGCGTTACATGCATCAAGGCCATATAACCCTCAAGAGAGAGGGCACAGTGACTTTGTCTACTAATCTCTCACCTCCTTTCTCTCTTATTTCATCACTCTTTTTTTCTCTGTGCTGTTTAATTTCTGTGTTTATCCTGATGCAACTTTTCTCCTCCATTGGCTCTTGGTTACACTGGGTTTTTGATGTTCCCTTTTAAACTTAACTTCTTGTTCCTTCCTGCATAGAGTCCCTTTAGTGATTCCAAACAGGCAGCTCTTCCTCTAGTGAATAAATGTATTTACTAAGTCTGCTGTCTAGGGTCCTGAGCCTTTCTGAAGGCCCCAGCTCAAGGAAATTCTGTTTCGTTAGATACCTCACTTGAAAATCTCCAGGACAATATATGATTTTATTGTATGCTTAGAAATAAGCATTTGTTTCTGTGCAGCCCTGTGTGAGATTCTTTATGTTGTGTAAAATAAGTGTAGCACAGGTACAAAATACTTCAGGTTTGTTCCTTTTTTAAAGAAGGAATGGGATTAACTGATGACATAACCCAGCAAAGAACAGAGCCCACTGATTGGAAGGAGCCTATTCCAAGACTAAGGATTGTGGAATCAAGCTCAGTGTGCTCAGGAACACACTTCCTCTTGCTACACACAATTTCTCTTCCTGGAGAAGTCCTCTATTATCTAGGAAAAAGAACCCTTTACAGAAACTGATTGCCCAACAAACACCAATGGGAAGAGACCACCTGAATTTCTGACTCCAACCATAAAGATATGCAGTCTGCACACAACAGCAGGAGCTTTACCTTCAGGGGGCATTAAGAGAGCCTCAAATAGCCAGGGTTCCTGTAGCGTATTGCAGTTTATTTAGGGGGGCTGTCAGACTTAATTAACTGATATTTATAAAGGGCTTCAAGATCCTCCAGTGGGTGGAGTTTATCATGCACGTATTGGGCCCAATCCTGCATTTTATTCTTGCTGTGAATTTCACTGTTGTAATGGGAGGTACTTGAGAGCACAACAAAGAAAGAAAGGGTCTAGGATATTGTCTGTTTATTATGAAAGAAAACCTTCTCTCTAACCATTGTTAAGTGACTCCTTTTTTCTGTCCTATCCATCATATGCTTGGACCTCTAAACCTTCTCTGTGTACAATCTATTTCACTTTAAAGAAGTGAAAGAAGACATCCTTGTGGCTGGAATAAGATGACTCTAAATGAACTAGAGCTTACCAGTTCTGTCACTAGCTCTGTACTGAGACCAGCATTTTGTAGGGTTATAGATGTTTAGGCCTGCAGACCTTTTCCATACTCAAACAGGGTTTGTCTCTCTTAACCTCAGTTTCCCCATGTATAAAGTAGACATGATGCTTCATTACTTTAGATGAGAGCCATGAATATTAGATGGGCACCTGAGTACTCTGTGATAGTTGGGTGGAGGATGCAGAAGAGTGAGGTGTTCCTAAGCTTTGCTGATGCAGTTTAGGCAGCCTATACAGACTTCTTGTCTTCCCTCTTGATGCTTTGAAGACACGGCTTTCCATGGGACAGTCCTGAGGGTATCCAGACTGGCAGTGTCCATGGCTGTGTGCTGATCCAGTGTCTATGTTCTTGTTCCAGATGTCCAAGACCAGTGCCAGCCTTGGCAACCTGCTGAACATTAAGACTGAAGGAGATGGCAGCCAGGCTGGGGCTGCAGAGCCGACACAGTACTTGGGCAAGGCAGTGAAGGCACTTGTCCAGGAGAAGCTCTCTGAGCCATGGAAGATGTACCTGCGCCGGTAAGGAGAGCATGGAACTGGGAATAGAGGAGAGGGAAAATAATTACCTTTGTAAAGTGTCTGGCTTACTAGTTCACACTTGAATGCAGAGTTCTCTTGAATTTAAAGGCCTAATTCTGTGCATTTAGTCCTCAGTCCCGGCTGGCTGCAGTAGGTGTTAATGTCCTAAAAAAAATCTGTCCACATAGAATTATTTTGCAAAGGGATCTGAAGAGGCAGTGACAAGCACAGATCTTCACACAGTGCTGTTAGCCTGGACTTCATCTTAGGCTCCTCTTCATGTCCTGTCTGCAAGTTCCAGGGCCCCACTGCAGCTCACTCCTGGCACTGAACTTCTGTTGGGCCATGGGTCACAGCTGCCCTACACCACTTGCTGTGGCCTTTCCTCTGATCATGGGAGTATCCACCAAAACAAAATAAGGACTAAAGGGGTATGGGAACTGAGGTGGTTTCTGTTGGTTTTGTGGTAGACAAGGAGGCTTGAAAGGAAAAATGGAACAGATACAAAACTCACCCACACACAGACACATGCACGTACATGCTCAGACAGACACAGGCTTTGAGCATACACAGATACACCCAACAGACACATGGGTTCGTGCTCTGACACAGAGAGTTGCCTACAAATGCCTGTGGACACTTCATAAATCACAAACTTCAGTGGAGAAGACTAGAAGGTCTCCTAGTCCATCTGCCTCTGGCCAGCGTGAGATCCTTCCCTGCAGTCTATTTGCATTTTGTCCAGCCTAATTTTAATTATGCCAAGCAGTGTGGCTATTTTCTTGTCTCTGGCAGCATTATTCTACCACCTAATATGTTTCACTGTCAGGGTTTTTTTCATGGTATGCTGCCTGAATTTCCATATGTGTAATTTTGTTGCCATTCTCTTGGTTATATCCCCTTGAACCACAGCAGATAATTCCTCTCTGCAATTGGAGTTCATCCCCTTCAGATATTCACAGACTTTCAGCATACTGTTTAACCAAGCTTATTTACTTCCTTTAATCTGACTTAGTAAATTAGTCCCTTCAGCCTGCTGACCATGATGTTGCTTTTGTCATTCTTGCTGTTCCCTGCCTGGGTGCAGAACTGAGCAGCTGTTCCTCCAGTACCACACCAGACAGGACAAGCTTCCTGCCTCCCATATCTGCAGCTCACAACCAGGCTGCCCTGTCTGCATCTATACTGCATGATGTGTATATACCATGTTTACCATCCACTCTTAGACTGAATTGCTTTTAATGTTGCTCTCATGAGTCCCCTGTGTGTGACAAACACTCCCCATGCTCCCCAGAAGCCGTTTCTGAATGTTCCCAAATACAGTTCTCAGATTTTGAACCCTCTCCCTTGCCTTGCAAGGCCTCTTGATGTTATTTTGCTTCCCTTTCTTTGGTGTTGCCAACTCCTCCCAGTCCAGTATCTTCCGTGCATTTCATTAACAACGCTGTTTACTCCTTCTCCTAGATTACTAATGAAGATGTTAAATAAGCTCAGACCTAACCAAAGTCATCCTTGCAGTATTCACAAGATCGCTCCTCCCACCTCAATATGTTGCTGTTTGTCATTAGCCTTTGTTTACAGTCCTCCAGCCAGTTTTCAATCCATGAGGTAGCATTCACATTCAGGCCAATTTGAATTAATTCTAAGCATATGTGAGACTGTATCAAAATGCTTTACTAAAATCCAAATATATTGCATCCCTTCATCCACTAATTTTGTAATTCTATCAAAAAAAGCAATTAAATATGTCTGGCAAGATTTATTCTTTATAATCCTGATGCTGTTTATTGCTCATGGTTCCTTTATCCTCGAGATGTTTAATGATTTTCTCCTCCCTCTTAATATTTGTTCCATTACTTTACTAGAAGGAGAAGTTAAGACCAGAGGTATGTTAATTGCCAAAGATCACTTGTCTTTTTTCTCCTGAAAGAATCAGTAACTATATGTTTAATATTATTATTATTTTTTCAACTTACTAGTATCTTTCTCTTCTCTATGACTTAAAAAATAGCAAACAGTAATGCAGTCAGTTTGTGAGTTAATTTCCATTGCACTTCAGGACATACATCATCCAGACTGGCTGATCTGTGCTTACTTATATTTTCCAACCAGTCCTTTATCTGCTCTTGTAGAAGGCCTTCACTTTATCCCTAATTGTCTGGTTTGTTTTTAGTTTTCCTATCGAAACCAAATTTTATAAGGCAGCCATTTTTTATTCATCACCTGCCATTTTTATTGGACTTTCTAAGTACAATACCTCTTGTCTCTGATAAAAAACAACCCCTTTATCTTGCAATAACTTGATTTCTTACCTCTTACCACACCATTCCTTCATCTTCTCCCTACAAGCCTTAACTGACTGCACAAATTCTATATGCCTTGACTTTCCTTCTCCAGTACAAGTGTTTTTTCTTCTTCCTTTACCCTCAAATTGCTAAGAATTCCCTCCTGGGACCACACAGCCTGCTGTTTGTTTCTTGCTTTCCTGCTCATCAGAGCAGTTGTAGTTTGTTGTATCTTAATTATGCAAGATTCCCTTGTTAAGTTTCAAATCCTTCCTGCCAGTGTTTTTCACTTGATTTCTTGATTCCCTGTGATTCTGGAATTTCCTGCAATCACAGGTATTTGTGCTACTCTTCACTAAGGGCAAGTCATGCCTGACCAGTCTGGTGGCCTTCTAGAACAAGGCTACAGAGATGGTGAATGGTGGCAGAGCAACTGGCGTCATCTACCTGGGTTTGTGCAGGGTGTTTGAGACTGTCCCACATGACATCCTGGTCTCCAAACTGACAAGGCATGGATTTGACAGATGGACCACTTGGTGGATAAGAGATGGCCACCCCCAGAGAGTTGTGGTCAATTGCTCAATGTCCAAATGGAGGCAGGTGACCAGTGGTGTCCCTCAGGGGTCAGTATTGTGACCAGGGCTGTTTAACATCTTTGTTGGAGACATGGACAGTGAGATTAAGTGTATTCTCAGCAAATTTGCTGATGATACCATGCTTTGTGGTGTGTAGCTGATACTTAGTATCTCCAACCTTTGTGACACCCTGTTGTTTCAAAGTGAGGGGTGGGCAGATTCTGGCTCTAGATCCTCTTGAACCACTGTTGTTTCTTCCCTTTTGCTAATTGCAGTAAAGTGAAACTGAAAAGAAAATTACCCACAATGTTTCAGCAGTGTCCTCTTGGTCTGGATTTCCCTTAATTTACCAACCTTTGATCCTTCTCAGAGCCTTGGCTTTGTACACAGACTCTCCACAACACTAATGATGTTCAGCTTTTGTTTCAGAGTAGTTCTGTATTTGGCTCCCACTAAAAGTGAGTAGGAGTTCCTTGGTTAAGTTCAGTTGGAGAGAAATTAGGTTCTTGTTCTGCACGTTCAGATCTATGTAACAAGCAATAACCAAGCAACAATGCCACCAGTGCTGTTTGTACAGCAGGGACAGTGACATTAGAGAATAGGATGGTAGGAGAGTTGAAAAACCGAAGAAAATAAGTGTGTTCCAACACCACCTCTCCCCTGAGACCTGCCATAAGATGCCTGCTTGTCTGATTTGGCCAGGTTTGGTACCAAGGACTTCTGCGATGCGCAGTGCGACTTTCTCCACAAGGTGCATTTCCACTGTGTGGTGGAGGAGTGTGGGGCCCTGTTCAGCACCCTGGATGGAGCCATCAAACATGCCAAGTAAGTAGGAGCCTTGGGAAGCCTTGGGAAAACTCAACCACACACATGTTGCAGGATGAGAGAGCCCCTGTTGGGTCACTGTGCTCAAGAGCAGGAAGGTGGGCAGTCCTGAGGGCAGCAAACGGGGCATCCACGTGCTTCCTGTGTAAATGTGCTCAGCTAAAGTTTTTGCATAACACTGTGTCCTCTTTCTTTAATTTAGCTTCACAATAAACATGCTCAACTTGTGAAAAAGGGATGGCTCTCACAGGATTGGCAAGGCTGAGAATTGGACGTTTGTGTTTTTCCACACCCTACTTGACAGACAGGGTGTTCAAGGAGACCCATATTTCTTAACAGCACCCAAATACACCATACAAAGAAATAAGAAAATATGGGAGGATCTTGTAAACCCAACTGTTGTCACTTGATACTGACTTTTTGTGGCTTAGACAGCTCCCCATCACTGCAGTATAGAAAGTTCTTTGTCTTGTTATGACAAATCTCTTTTAATTCCCTAGCCCTTAGGTTTTAAGAGATTCAAAGCATGTGAATAAGGATCTTGAAATGAAGCAGTTAAATTGTCCAGCCCAACAACAACCTCCTTCTCACCCTGCCATATTCTATATTGTGCTGTATTATATGTCATTTTCTATAATTTTGGCAAGTAACAGAGTTTGGTAGCCAGAGTGTGGTAGGCAGAGCTGTAGGCTGGATAATGCAGCCTGTATTCCAGAGGCTGTGCAGCCTGCTCAGAACTCCAGATGACTCCTGGGTGAAGAATGTATTTCAGATGCACTCTCACTGTTACAGTGAGGCAAAGGAAGGGAAATGTTGCCTGTTGCAAATATCTACAGAGTATAATCTGCGGTTCAGAATCACACCAAGTTCCTTTTAAAGGCAGTGGTAGATTTGCCCAAGTAAAGCATGAATAAGACCTCCAGCAGCTGCCCCCACAAGTTACATGCAGTGGTCAAAAATCTTTTGTCTGAATTACTCTTTTTGCAGCTTTCACTTCCGAACTGAGGGTGGAACTGTGAAAAGTAACTCTGAGTCTCCCTTCTCAACTACTACTGAGAATAAGGCTTCGCTGGCCCCTTCATCACCATCTGCTACTTCTGTCACCATGGCAAGTGCTCCTGCCCTTGACGTGCCCACTCCAAGCCCAGCGACTGTCCCCTCTGCCCCCACACTGCTAGCTTGGAAGCAGCTGGCTTCAACCATACCCCAGATGCCTCAGATCCCAGCATCAGTGCCTAACCTGGCAACTTCACCCTTGGCAACAACCTCCCTGGAGAATGCCAAGCCTCAGGTCAAACCGGGATTTCTCCAGTTCCAGGAGAAGTAAGTTGTAGATGCAGCTTTCCTTCTTGTGTCCTCTCCAGCCTTGCAGCCCCCTCCCTACTGCTTCTCAAAGCTGTAGAACTACATCTGTATTTACCTACTGAGAGACCTTCTGTCTAGAAAGAACTCTGGGCTTTACCTCACAGAAGATTTACTTCTAGAAAATACCTTTGGTTATCCTAGGAAAAAAAAACAGGATTTTCAAGTAGATATGGGAGCACTTTTAGGTATGAAATGACCTTGCTGACATACCATTTAAGCCCTTTTCACACCTCTCATGAGGTATTTTTTGACACTGAAGGCTACAGAGCAGGTGTGGCCTTTTCAAAGGTTTCAGCTCAACACCAGACTAGCCCAACCTCCAGATCTTGCTGCAAGTCTGAGACCATGAGTTTCTGTAGCTGAGCAAAAATCAGTGGGGGAGTGGGGAACCAAAACCATTTAGCTGATTAAACAGGCCACTGCTGATTTTGTCTAATCAGGAGAAGCCCTGGACTTGCAGAGTGTCTGCCCAAGAATTTCATTTTAGTTACACAAAATTGAGATAGGAGAAACCATCTGAACCCATTGAGGTAAGCAGAGGCAGAAGGGGAGAGATGGCATCTATTCAGACCTCGAGAGAGCTTTAAATTGGAAGTGTGGCCCTCAAAAGACTACAGAACCCACCATGCATTGCTGTATTTTAATAAGCTTAATCAAGAAATTGCACTAGCTTGGTGGATTGTAGTAGTGTTGCCAGCATCGATTTTACTTGAGAGGAAGGTGGCTATGGGAAATCTGTAGGCCAGGTCTGGAACAGAGGCTTCAGCTGGGCTCCCCTTGAATTAAATTTTGGCAAAGAAACAAACGTGAAATGAGTAAAGGTGATGATTGGGTTTTGGATTTATTCCAGTGATCCCTGCCTGGCAACGGACTGCAAGTACGCCAACAAATTCCACTTCCACTGTCTCTTTGGGAACTGCAAGTATGTGTGCAAAACCTCTGGCAAGGCAGAATCCCACTGCCTGGACCACATCAACCCCAACAACAATCTGGTGAATGTGCGAGACCAGTTTGCTTACTATTCCCTGCAGTGTCTCTGTCCGAACCAGGTAAGAGCCATTCCAAAGCAGTGCTCCCCAGGGAATGTGTGGGGGAGAAGAATGGGAGAGAGGAGGGAGACTGGCCAGTAGGAAGTGAGGCTGAGTACAAGTACAGAACCACACAATGGTCTTCATTACATGGCCTAGCAAAATGTTTTGTTTCCATCAAATGGAATATCGCACTGCTTTTGTGTTTCTTTGATTTGGGTGAAGTGGACAAGGCAGCTAGAATGATATAAGAGACATAAAACTAAAATCAGTGATGGATGCCAGGGAAAAGCACAGGTTAGGTTTTGGGTATCTCAGTGTAGAGTAGCACAAGACAATACATGACAGGAACAAGTTTGCATTGCGGCTTGTGGAAGATGCAGTGGCTGTGACTAGAGCATCAGTTGAGGCCTCTTTCTCATGGCTCAGAGGAACAGCATTAGTGGCAGGCAGATGAGAGTGCTCTTGTTTCAGATACATATGCTTAAAGCAATCTGCCTTGTTTGCTCCTCTCTAGCACTGTGAATTCAGGATGCGAGGGCATTACCACTGTCTTCGTCCTGGCTGCTACTTTGTGACTAACATCACCACCAAACTGCCCTGGCACGTGAAAAAGCATGAGAAGGCAGAGAGAAGGGCAGCCAATGGCTTCAAGTATTTTACCAAGCGGGAAGAGTGTGGCAGACTAGGTGAGTTTTCTTCTCTTTCCCCTGTCACCTTTCTCATGTGGTCTGTCCCATGTCCAGGCTGAGAATGCCATGCGTTAGAGCCCGTGATTTATGCTTGTGGTATATTTAGTCATTAAATCACTAAACAAGAAATGGAACAAAACAGAAAGCAGTTCCTGATCTGCCTGAGTTACAGCATGTTTTCCCAACTAGACCGAAGTAAAATGGATAGAAACTGTAGTGTAGAAGCTAGATAGATAGAGATATATCTATGTATTTGTTTGGAGATACAGCATCCCTTTTGCTTTTCCTTTTTAACTATTTGTCAAGACCTTTTGGTTGGTTGGTTGGTTTTGGGGGTTTTTTTGTACTTTGTAGTCTTGGCCTACTGCTTGCGTTGTGTAGAGTTCAAGGGTGCTCTTTGGAGTAAAGCAAAGCAGATGCCTGTTCTGATGTGTGCCTTGTGTGCAGCTCTTCCTGTACCAAGGCAGCTGGTATGGAGAAGAGCATTAACTAAACTGCTCCCTTCTCTTGAAACCATTCTCTGCAGCCACTGGTGTTTTGTGCCAGCCTCCCACCAGAGCAGGGCCCAAGGAAGTGCCTGAGATGTGGCCCTTGCCCACTTACCAGAGCTATTAGCAGCATTACAGTAGTTATTAAATCTAAGTGCCTTGAGTGTAAAGCTGGTAAAACAAACGCACAACAGAAAGTAGAAAGTGTTCCCAGGGAGGTAACTAAAGCTGAAATCCAGGGCTATGAACTGGAGCAATCCCCAAAGGCAGCTCCAGCAGAACTCTAGCCTGAACTGCCTGGGATTCACTTAACCCTTTGAGTTGTGTTTTAGCTTAATGTTATCACAGACTGTCCTCCCTGTCACTCCTGGTTGGAACAAAGGCTGAAACAAAACAGGGTTCAGAATAACGTTCTGGGTGCTGCTCTCTCACATTGCAGGGGAATAGCCACAATAACCAGAACCTAACTTTTCAGCTTCGAATACATGGAGAATGGTGGCTTGTTTGTGGTAACCAGGGTAATGAGTGTCAACACACCACAGCCAGTACTTACCTCAGTCTCATTTTCACAACAGTAGGTATGTTATTTACTCAACTTGAGGTGTTTCAGGTGATAGCAGGGGCTAGACAAAGCAGGACAATGATATATGACACCCAGCCCACACGGATGCCCTAGCAACAGGCGAGCCTTCACCTGCCCTTTGCTGATACTGTTTCAGTCCCGCCAGCACTGTTTGTTCTCCATCCCAGAGAACAGCACAACGAGATGGGGAGGGCAGATGAGGTGGGGCTGTGGGGGAGTGCAATACCTAAACAAACACAAACTTGGCATGCACATAAAACGCTATCTGTGAGCTAAGGCTGGGCTGGGTGGCTCAGGAGCTGTTTGGCGGCAGGCATCCGCAGGCTGTGCCTGTGTCAGCAGGGTTTATTTTTGGAAGTTCTGGGGTGCAGGCATCCAGCAGTATGTACAGGTGCCATGCAGTAACCACACACTTAGCCAGCACTCTGCACTGGCTTGTGTGGATCCAAGGGATGGGGTAGCAAGATGTGTTTGTGTGGGTGTATATGGTTATACCAACAAGTACCTGCATGTCTTCTTCTCTGTACATCTCTGTGCTTTTCATGTTGCATATGTATATATACATATATATATATATATATAGCAGGTGCAGAAAGCACTGGCCAGCTTTAAGGGCTGTGAATGTTTCTGAACAAACAGAGAATAGGGTTTTTAGATATATAGATATAGATATATATATATTTGTGCATATATACACATATGGGTGGGAAGAAAGAGATGTAAGCAAAGGTGTATGGGTGTAGATAGATGATAGATGTGTAAGGGTATGGCTAAGGGATGATGGAGAACAGACAAAACCTGATTATAGATAGAGCTGTGTTTTTACTGCAACAAGACATTTCTTATCACCTATAGAATGCAGCTGTTTAGGACTGTTGGTTAATTGGATACACGAACTCCCAGCATGCATGGCACTATCCACAAGGAAGAAAATGTGTCAATGCTGTATGCCAGAACCCATATAAATTGCTTGTTGTTTAGTGGCTGGCCCTATTACACAACAAATTTGGAGTGTCAGTAAACACTTCCTGGCTCATTTCTGTCTGACCAGATAGCATACAGTGTCCAGAGCCAGAGCTTGGAAAAGACTGCTTTTCTGAGAGCACAGTTAAAGGAAAAAAAGAACGTCTCATTTCTAAGCTATGGGTGGGTATTTGTAATTGTAACTTGTATGACACGGTTTGGTTTCCCTTTGTAATGGACAAGGTGCTAGCTAAGACTGGAGAGCATTAGGAACTACTAGATGTAATGGTAATGTTCCTTGATAACCAACAAGGAGGAATGGGACTAGTCTGCAGCTCGGGCTCACTTTTAAAATCTCTGTACACTGTAATCCTCTATTGCAGTTGCTCAGCAGGCAAAAGATCATGTGTTTTGTTTTTTCATTCAGGACTGTTCCTAAAGAACCTGTGACCATAATTTTCAATCCATCATACATCCACGTAGCAGCAGCCTTGTTCTATCTCCAGATGATCTCCCCTACAGTCCCTTTCTCTCCTAGTACCTTTCAAGTGATACATACAATGGTTTTCTGTCTGTAGGTTGCAAATATAACCAGGTGAACAGCCACTTCCACTGCATTCGTGAGGGCTGCCAGTTCTCCTTCCTGCTCAAGCACCAAATGACATCCCACGCCAGGAAGCACATGAGAAGGATGCTGGGGAAGAACTTTGATCGCGTTCCTACTCAGGTGACTTTACTGGTTATTGAAGTTTTAGATCCACATTTAGTGTTGGGCCCTTTGGCTGCTTGCTCCTGAATTGCTTTCTTGCCAAAACACTCACAGCCAGACTCTCAAGGATTTGGGGGTATGCATTGGGGGATGCAACTGGGATGTGTGAGTTCACCCAAACTAGTTATACCTGCTTGGACTTCTATGAGACAAGCACAGACATCAAAGCATTACTTAGTGTAAACAGCTTTTCCCTGTGAATGATGAAGAAAAAGAATTGAGAAGGATAACACTAAAATACTGACATTTACAACTTGCACTCCCTTCCCTGCTCTCTCAATATCCACCAATTGACTTATTAAAATTAAAGTGCTTAGGATGTGGAAGAATTGAATGTGCTGGTTAAAGCAAAGATTTCCTGTTGCACATAAAGAGTTATTTGCTGCTTCCACCTAGTATAGGAAAAATACCAGTCTTGAAATTTCTGTTATTGATTTGG